GGGGAAATGCAGCGGGACAAGGACGAAAGTTAAAGCAGCAACAGTTCAACTCGGGCAGGCAGGAGGGGAGATGGATAGGTCCAACAAACACCAGGAGGGGTGGTGTTCGCATCCCGTAAGATTGTAAAGCCAAACCCTTTTTCCTAAATCTAACTACGTGTGTTTGTTGTTGAAGGAAAAACACGCTGATTCCCGGTATTGTACCAACATAGTGCTTTTATTTTGAAAGAGACTGTATGCAAACTGTACATTTCCTGTGAAAACAGAAGTTTATTTTGAAAACAGACAATGCATGTAACAGGCTGAAGTTGACACAGCGTCCCAGAACGTCAATAACCAACACACCCAGGGTTCCTTGGATGTCATATGTGGACGTGGAAAGTCCATGACCAAATGTAGACATGTGACGAGGTCACAGTGAGGATGTCTTCACCAACTGTAACTTTCATTCATTCAACTTGACTTTAACTCAGAAATACATTAAGGTAGAAACCTCATTTATAATAAAGACAAGTAAAAAGAAAAGTTCATAGCTATCAAGGACACATTTAAGAAACTTAGATAAAAAGAGCAATAAAAGAAAGAATAATACAAAGCCAGTTTAATGAAACAATAAAACCTTAACAATAACTAAAGTAGTTCAAATTAAACAAATGAGACTGAAACAAGAACAGCTGGAAATAAATGAGACTGGATGAAATTACATTTTTGATCTGCCCAAAGAATGAAAATGAGAAAAGCTTCAGACTGTTCTGCATGTTATTCTGCAGGTGCACACTCCGAACTAATTGCCCAGGGCCCCAATAGGGAGGCCCTTAAAAAGCCCAGAATGAAAGTTTGGTTTTGTTTGCAGTTATTTTTTTCTAAGAAATTAGTGCCATAACTAAATTAAAATTGAGTAATATATCAGTTAAAAAGTTAAAAGACTGAACTTTGTGTAAGTCCTCTGAGTTGTCGCTCCACCCTTAAATGTGCAAAATTGTTAAGTCTGCCCCGGCACTATAAGTTTATTTACACAGAGATGGCGCTATAGAGCCGCTACGAAGTCCCTTTTTTATTCCTGCTTAGCATTTTTACACAGAACCAAACACCGGCAGTATCATGACGCTCCAATGTGTGATTTCAGACAGCATGCTGGTGTTGTGGAATCAAAAGAAAAGTCGGCCTCTAGTGTGACATATAACATAAGCGTCAGCAGCACTTTATAAACAATAACAATGACATTAACATGGCAATAACTATGATTTACTGTCTCTATTACATGGCGGCTGATCTCGTCGTCTGCTCAGAGGGTAAGGAGCTCATGGACCTTATTGTTTTCCCAATTTGTGGAGCTGCTGTTCTTCCTCTTTGAGTTAGTTGCTAACTGCTAACAGCTACTTTTAAAATCTCCAGCGGTGGGTTGCACACATAACATGTTGCCAAAATGTTACACCAGTGCCGCCATGATCCCGTCCTGCTGGCTGTTCTGTTTATACAGACATCGTTTCGACACTGTTACTACCTTCCATGGTGGCTTAAAAGCGAGACAACTCTGTCCCCTCATTCTACGATCGTACTGTACATACAAAACAGCGAGGCAGCATAATGGCACAATTTTCCCGCCTTCAACAGGCAGTGTAAAAGAGACTGTTGTGTCAAAACACAGCTAGAGCTGAGTGAGTGAGTGACTGCTACTGGAGGACCAACCTATGCCGTCATGTCTTTCACCAAGAAAAAGACATTTGGGTTCTAATAAAAGAAAAGAAAGAGAGAAAGAAAGCAAACTGACTGTAAATAAATTAATTATGTGTATATACATCTTCTTGTTCCAATGCATTGTTCTGCTGGGAAACCTGGTTCTGGCATTCATGTGGATACCACCTGGCATGTTCCACTCACTCAAACACCGCTGCAGACCAAGTACCCCCCCCCCCACACACACACCTGCAGTTATGTCTGCAGTGTGGCATGGTGCATTATCCTGCTGGTGGGCCACTGCCATCGGGGGTACTTGGTCTGCAACGGTGTTTGAGTGGGTGGAACATGTCAGGTGGTATCCACATGAATACCACAGCCAAAGGTTTCACAATATACATATGTACAGGCCCGGTTCTCGACTGCTGTGAATGAGGGCAGTGAGAGATGTTGGTTGGTCATGGTTAATACAGGTGGTCTTTATGTTTGTGAGCTATAAGGGGCACTGTTTTAAGTTTTTTTTTTTTTAATTCTGAGGACATTCAAGGCTTATCATGGACCCCATACCACCCCATAAACAAGATCTATTTTGATGCTGTTTTATGCACTTTGGCGCCTTATTTACATTTAAAGAGCATTAAATCATTGTTAATTTAAATGTGTACCTCAAAAAGTGTCATTTCCTTTCTAGATTAGTTGTCAAATTGTAAATGTAAAAACACTAGTGTTAGTTTTGAGTAGAAACAGAGTCATAACTGCCATCATTAAACATTTACTGACGAGAGTTGTACTTATGCTAACAGTGGTGGAATGTAACTAAGTACATTTACTCAAGTACTGCAGTACAAATTTGAGGTACTTGTAGCCTACTTTAGTTTTCCCATTTTATGCAAGTTTAATGTACTTTTTACTGCACTGCATTTATCTGACAGCTTTAGTTACTTTGAAAATTCAGAGTACTAAAACAAAATATAAATCAACTAATAAATGATGGTGTATTAATAAACTATACCAGCAGTATATAAAGTGATTACAATGAGCTACACCTGCACCAGCTGCAACATTAAAGTTCTATCTATGTATCTGTCCAATTTAATTCAATCAATAGAACTTTATTCATCCCAAAGGAAATTATTGTGCCAGAGAAAGCTTCAAATTACAGTAACAATTTAACAATGACACAACCAGTAACTACGAGTTGGTTCCCCAGGTCAGGGTCACTGGGCCCAGTTTTAAAAACAATAGGATATTAAATATCTGGCAGAATATACAACATAAGAAGTGTTTAAGGAGCAAAAGCAAAAAACAGTGACTCACAGAGTAACAATAGAAGTCAGGTCAGTACAAGAGTAACTGAGAATGAACTAAAATGGTGGAAAAATCAGTTAACATAAACAATGTTATATTGTATATGATGTAACAATGAGAGCTGGTATTGCACATGAATTGAGAAAATGATATTGCACTACACTGACAAGTGATCATGATACTGAAAAGTAGTAATTTACATCATAATAGAGTAATAGATTGTATTATAATATGATGTTACTATTGAGACTTGGAGAAGTTGTATTAATGACTTATTAACAGGAGTTTTGGTGTCACTGTGGTGTGACATGTCTCAGAGGACTCGTGTCTTCTGTGCTGAGACTTTAGGTTTCTTTATTAGGGTCAGACTCAAACACAAGTTTTGACTTTGACGCTACGTCAAATGAAACCTGCTGTGATGCAGCAGTGGAAACTCCTGTGGGCGGAAACTCACGCTGACTAACCGGCTCCCGGCTGCTCTACATGAGAATGAAACCACGTTAATGGTCATAATGACGCCGGTTCACCGGGAGATGCGCGCTGCCGCCGGTCCGTGGCGCTGTTCTGCGCTGCGTAAAACCCCGCAGCACGCGAGGCCCTGTCCTGTCCTGTCTGCCTGTCTCTCCCTCCTGTCTGTCTCTACAGGTCTGTCTCTCTCTGTCTCACCAAACCCTCTCCTTCTGCTGAGATCGAGGCTGAAAGCAGAACGCATCCTGAATGTTCCGAGCCTCCTCCTCAGCTGAGGAAAAAAAAAAAAGACGGGGGAAAGTGAGGAGCTGATTTTGACCGAGAGGTTTCAGAAACCGTCAAATGTTCCCACGGACAGTCCTGCAGAGACTCGTGTGTGTGTGCTGTGGGCTCAACAGTGACCCAGCCGAGCTTTATTCTGCACTGGAGGAGGAAGAGGAGGAGGAGGAGGGTTTGCTGTGCTGCGGCCATGTCGATCATATCCGCCGTCTCCCATATCGCCTCCCGATGACAAGAGTGGAGTGTGTGTGTGAATGTGTGCGTAAAGGGGGGCAATTTCTTTTTACACATGAACCCCCCCTCTCCCCGCCCCCTGTCCTCACTGACACATCGTCCCCAAATCTCCAGATCTCACCTTTAACAATCAGACACACCACAGCAGAGCAAACCTCTCGCAGCACAGCTCAGTCTCACCGGCCGAGCAGCTGCAGCTGTTTGCAGCTTCGTTTCTGGAAAAAAAAAAAACACCCCGTGTGTTTCTTTCTCTTCACATGCACAGAGTCAGTGACCAAACACCAGTATTGACGACGCTTTAAGTGCCATTAAATGTGTGTTTTAGGCGTGCGTTTGGCACACACACATACAGACACACACACATACAGAGGATGCCTCAGTCCCCCCTTGTCGTGGCACAAACGCTCATAAGACAGTGACTTTGGGAGGCTGAACATATAAAGACAATTGTTCCTGTCGTGGCATGAGGGATCCAGGACTGAGAGCAGCCTCCAGAGACCCCTCAGAGCCCCGCAGAGGTGCGCTGTGAGCCTCAGTCCCTCCGTGGCTGGGTGAACTTTATATCGAGCATATATTAACACTTTGTGGCCTGTTTTTTTTTCCTCCTCTAAGGCTGGAGGACTCCATTTTGAAGGGACCGGGTGTGCAGCCACAGACTACACAGCAACTCGGCTCAGGGAAGGAAACCCGTCTGTTTTTCCGGGTAGCCTGCTGCACCATTTTCACTGCTCCTCAGACGTGTTAGTGGAGGACATCTTTGAATTACTTCCATTTGTTTATTGTGTCGTGTCAGGGCGCATGTGTGCTGCCACAGGAGTGCGTGTCGGGGGGTTTGGTGGAGGAAGAAGATGCCAGTTTGTTTGGCACAAGTTTGGCATGTGACATGTCAGTGGTGTTGACAGCCTGCTTTGGGTTAATAATTGATGCTTGTAATTAAGGAGAGGGGCGGGGTGGGTTTTTGGAGGTGTCGTGTGGTTTGTCCGGTGCGTTTCTTCTCTTATCAGTGGCTGTCAGCTCAGATGTTGTTGTTTTTTTAATTTTTTTTTTTCTTGAAGAGAGATTCACGGCCCCTTCTGTGCTCCATGCTGTGGAGCGGCCGGGGAGGGAGGCAGTGGTGACGCCTGGCAGTGCGCACAGCAGAGAGAAGACTGACTTTGAAGGGGGCAGGCAGAGTGTGCGGGCAGGAAACAGCCATTCAACAGAGCACAGATCTATACACGGCGATTTATAAAGTTGTAGTTATCACAAAGCAGAAGGGGGAGTGTCGCTGGAGGAGCTCAACACGCCTGAATCTGTGTTCCCGGGGCCGCTGGACCAAGCTTTAGCGCATGTAGAGAGGAGGAGGGAGGAGGAGGAGGAGGGAGGTGGAGGGGGCAGTGAGTGAGTACGTTTCAGAGGATCCAGGCCTAGTAGTATTGCCGCTGGGACTCTCCTCATCCGCTTTCAAAAAATTGGAAATTGGCACATTTAAACGCCAAAATGAGCAGGTTGAGGGTCACGGGCGCGGTGGCCGACACCGGAATGGTAAGATTCTCGCGACAGATCCCGTGTCATGTGGCGTTTTCTCCGTGATTTTGTTGTTTGATGCACACATAGCCTGCATCTGTCGGGGAGGGAAGCCTGTGAGAGTGTGTGTGTATTTATGAGTGTGTGTGTGTTTGTGTGTGTCTTTGCGCGTGTGTGTTGAACTTGTTTTGTGTCGTCTCGTGTTATTTGGCGTTTAGTGTCTCCGTCTCGTGCAGGCATGGAAGCCCAATGCAAGCCACGGCCGACACACTCATACACAACACACATGCAGTTGCACACACCTATGAACACGCGCGGTATGCACGCGCGCGCGCGCACGAACGGGTCCATTTTAATTCCAGTTGGTGGTTGCACCGCCGGCGCGGCTGATTTTTGACGCTGTAATTTATTACCTTTATTGTGTGTGTGTATGTGTGTGTGTGTGTGTGTGTGTGTGTGTTTATGCATGCGCGTGAGCTTACAGGCTGATGACCTTATCGGAGGCTACTTGATGTCATTTTCATCATATCGCGATAATTGTTTCCTTAAAGGCTGTACGGCGGGAGGCTGCGGTGTTTACTCAGGGTCGGTCCCCAGGAAAATGTCACGTTAGGTCGATCCGCTCGTCGCCAGTGAGTGTTTACGGTTTATTGTGACATCATGTGAAGGCAGATCATGCTGTGTGTTTCACGGATTTCATGTGTGAGCTGTGTCACTGTTAAACATATCTCATCAGCAGCTGCCGGATAACTTCACATAAGCTGCAGAGATGTTGTGACAGATTGTAGAAACATGCTGTGCAGGAAAACATGGACGTAGTGTCATTTGTTTCAGGAATGTTGTTGCAGGATTGTGGGAAATATTAGCAAATGAAACTCTCAGCTGAGCCTCAGTGTTGGGGAGAATCTGCAGATTATATTTAAAAGTCAGCCAAACTTTGATGTTCAGAATTTTTTGGTTCACACTTATAAGTTTCTATTTGTGTTTCAGGGAGGAACCATGCCAGCATGAGTGGGCCTTACCCAGGCCCTGGCAGGGAGACTCATCAGTCCAGCTGCCCTTTGACCCCTTGTCGCGACCTCTCCACCCACTCCTGCACCTCCAGACACCATGACCACAGGCTCGGGCTAACCATGTCTGCCACCGCCTCCTCCCTCAAGCATGCATCCGTCTATGGATTCTCACACAGGGACCACTCGTCCTCCTCTTCTTCCTCTTCATCCTCCTACAGTCCTCTCAGGAGGCTGCAGCACCTCACCACCATGGTGAGCCAGCCTGACCTGGTCCTGCCGGTGAGGGAGCCCGAGAGGAGCTGGGAGTGGGGGCTGAGTAAGAAGGAGAGGGGGAAGGGGATGGAGAGGGACTCCTGGGCTGACAGTGATTATTCTGGCACCCAGAACACCAACAGGGAGGAGAGCTTCAATAGCTCCTCAGCTGGACCAAAACAACCTGTGGTCCAAACTAAAAGTCGAGACATGCCAGCAGCCAATCGCAGCGACCCTGTTGTCTCAGAGAAAAAGAACGAAGGTTGTTTCTCCGGCCCGCCCAGCCCGGCCTTCTCTCTCGATAGCAACAGCCCCTTTGCTAACGGTTTCCTCCACTTTGAGTCCTCTTTGTTTGAGGATGATGACAATGATGAAGAGCGGGAGAAGGTGTCGCCTCTGGGAGGCTTGCAGGACAAACACGAGCAGGCGCGGAATGTTCTTCCGTCCACCCCTGGACACTTGAATTCGGACTCCAAGGATGCTCCCCTGTCATCCGCCAAGGTCATCACCCGGTCCCAGTCCTCAGGTCAGCGCAGGAGATACTGGGACGGCTCGGATGACGAGTGGGAGAGTGACACCGAGCTGTTCCTACTCGAGGATAGTCCCTCAAGGCATTCACTGGCAAGTTTTACCCTCATTACACCACGCAAACTTGTCACAAAAGAACAGCTTTACAGGTCAGTCAGCGCCAACAACACCTCTGTTAGACAGACAGCTGTCCTGATGCAGAGAGACAGTGAAACAGTGAAATTTCAAAATGGCGCTCATTCAAAGGCCTGAATAGAAAATATGTGGTATGGTGCTGGATTACACACAAACCCAGTGAATGAACACCAGCGCTGCCTTTCACCTGCTGTAACACAATATCAGTTCCTAGTGAATAATGGTCGGCTCAGGCGAAACACGGCTCCACAGCCGCAGCTCTGTCACTGATAAATATGGTTTCCTTCTTCTTACTAAGAACTAAAGGAAACCTTCAGCTTCTCCAGAGGTTTTCAAACTTTGAGGAGAGCTGAAGGAGCAGAGCGTGAGGCTTTATTGCGTAAGTAGGTGAAAGTGACAGGTGTGTGCAGGTGTTTTAGAATCTACAACAGGAAGGTGGTTATTGTGGATTGGACAGTGATTTGGCCTGTTACAGCTGCAGCAGCGGCTCCCACTTAAAGGGATACTTTGCCGAATTTAAACCAAAACAAATCAAAACAATGTGGGTAGTCTGTGTAAATGAACTGTGGTAAACTTCCCTGGATCTAACCAGCTCCCAGATCTCCCCACTCATTTCTCAGCTCAGATTTTCACTGGCTCCTGGGCTGTTGATCCACAGATTGTACTTTGCCATTTTTGTACCCCGCTGCCACAGACACAAAAGCCCCCTTTCCCACTGCACAACAAACCCTCCAACACCCTCTAACATCTGACTTTGTATGTAGTGGTAGGGTGAGGGTTCAGGAGCAACTTCACCAACTTCAAGGTGCACAAAGAAGGGAGATAAATCAAAGGTGTTGAAACTCCAGGAACACTTACAGTTTTTAGAACAACTTAATTGTGAAACTGACATAATTTGGCTGGTGGCCTTGTGCCTTGATGACCCTGATGAAGGTCGTGTTGGTCTTGTAATGAAGTTGCTCTAACTACTATGAGTGTTGCTGGAGTTTCATCGGCTTTTTTTGGGCAGTGATGGAAACACAACAACTCCTTTACTGTTGAGTTGCAGTGACCTGTCACCTCAAAATACCATCCGTCTGTGCCCAAGCAGCGCTTAAACATCGTCCCAATTAGTCTGCACTGAGTTTGAAAGAGAGACAGAATAAGTGGAGTAACCACCATAACATTTTCACCTGCTACTCATCTGCTGCGGAGCTGTGTACGCAGCTGTCGTCTACCGGCAATGGAAAAGTAGTCTATCGCCTATTTCAGCAGGTTTTCCTGTGTTTAAAAAAATGGCATAAACAGAAGTGTAAAAGGGCTAAAAGAGTAAAGTGGATTGAGCAAGAGAGCGGCCCGTCTGTCTCTTAAATTCAGACCAGACTGCGATCAAGCTGTAAAAATAGGCAGTGTGATCAAATATGAACCAAGACTGTCACTGCACTGCCTTTTTCTCGCCTAAAATGTTTTCAGAAACATATTTTAGTGCACTTTTTTGCTGTAATATGATCATTTGCGAACAGGAAGTGGGCGCTATTCTGTTTCCAGTATTGTAAAAACGGAGGCTGGAAATACTGAGATCAAACGGTAAAACTAAGCAGCACTGATCAAATATGAACCAAGATTCTGTCACTGAGTTGCCTTTTTCTTGCCTCAGACGTTTCAGACACATGTTTTACGTCACTGTTTAACTGTAATACGAGATGGTTTGTCACCAGCTGGGCGCCATTGTGTCAAACAGACAGTGCAGTGCAGTGCATTCTGGTAGTTATAGCTTTTCGCGCTCTTGAGTAAAACCAAATGCCACAGCGATTTTCTTTTTTTCTCTGGTCATGTCACACCAATTTGAAAAGTATTTGCATCGTTGTACTGCAGAGACAGTTTTATGAAAAGACCGACTTTCCAGCAGTGAAATACTTCTTTAAAAACCCTTAGTGCCTGATTGCAAAAATCACACTCCAAAGTCAAAACTGAGTCGCATGTAAATGCGCACACACGATACATATTTTGTATTCGGTGGAACTTATGTCATTACCTCTGATGTCCATCATGAACAAATTTAAATAAATCCGATTAGAAATCATAGAGAAAAGACGCCCCTAATAACTCCAGAATGTGTCGAGAATCAGTACATTTTTAAGTTTTCCTCCGTTTTTAAGTCATCCAGTAATGATCGTCTGTACGTCCATGAGTACATTTGGCATACTTTTAAATGTCTTTTTGCTGAAATGTGAACAAATATTAGTGGAAAAACAGTGTGTTTAAGTTGTAAACTCCATACTACCTGTTTACAGCCCCAAAGCATTATGGGAACTGCAGTTCCAAAACTTAAAGCATGATTATCCCTCAAATACAAGTAAGACGAAGAATATTGACAGGAGTGACAAAATCCATTAATAGTAACTCTTTGTATGTTGCACTGTAGATATTGTTTGATAGTTTTAAGTCTTAAAACATTCCATCATCAGTTCTTATATTCTGGGAGCATGGACAGTCTCCTTTGTCTGTTCGCTGTCACAAGTTTTGCTTTTATTTCGCCGCCTGCCTTGGGGACATTTTCCTCCACAGAAAATGTTGGCACTGCTCAGGAGGTGACACTAACTAGTTTTACTTCTATTTATCAGTGTTTCAGCACAAATCGCCACTTATCATCTGAGAGACAGGTCAGTCAAATACAGCAAACATTTTGACTTGTCACTTTAGGAAAATCACCAGTGTCACTAATAACATTACCAGTGTCTGTGTTCTGTTTAAGTGTCCCAGTGAGTTCGTCATGATGCTGTGACAGTGAGCCAACATGCATAGTACCAGGACTGTGACACTGAAGCAGCTCAACAGAACTCGGCCATCACTTATTTCTTTATTTACACCTGTGACATATCAAAATCTCTGTTGTGAAAAAGGCCCATGGAGTCCTCAGAATGAGTCAGCCATAGCAACAAGATGAATAGAAACAACACTGAACTGTTTTCAGTGGTCATTTGACTAGTAGTATCGGCTCCGCAGCCTCTCTCCAGCGGCTCCCTTTGGCTTTGACAAAAAGTTATATGGGAGTTCTGGTGCGCTGAGCTGAACTGCCAATCGGAGTGATTTCATTCAGTGACAGACTCCACCGTCGCCACTGCTGATTCAGCATGTTGTATCGGCTGAAAAAAAGCGGACAAGGGCCAAGGATGCAGGACACACAGCAAAGACTAGGGAGGCTGTGTGCCACCAGCTTGGTGTGTCGGGGCCGCAACACCTCTACAGACTAGCTCTTCCCACACTTCCTGTTTTATTACTAAGCTCAGCTAATCATCCCCTGGCTGTCTTTATACTCGAGGCAGACATGAGAGTGATATTAACTTTCTCATCCAACTCTCTGCAAGAAAGCAAATTAGCAGTTTTCCCAAAATGTTGAACTATCCCTTTAAAACGCTCCGGCCAGGGTTACATCATAGCTGCAACCAGTATTAGCCCTCAGGCTGTTCCTGCTTCATGCCAGTCATAACTCAGGCCTGCTCATTTACCCGCCAGTCCACCCAACCTGCCGCTGTGAGCAGTAACTCCTGTTAACACAAAGGAAACAGTCGCCACCAGGTTGGAATGTTTCTCTTCTGTGGTTTGTGTTGGGGTTTGAAGACAAGACTAAAATTAGACCTCAGAAAAAGCCTGTTAAGAACACTGTTGGATCGAAGCTGAAGCCTTTGACCTATTATATAGTGTTACATGTGTAAAATATATATATTTGCTAAGATTTTATTTAGATTTCTCACTATATTCAGTACAACAAAACAAAGGCTTAAAATCTCAATGACAAAACAACACAACACAGGAAGTCAACACATACAACATCCATGGCCGACCCATCAAACAAGTGAGCTCACCCCCAGTATCTTCATGTCTGATCCACTAATATGAAATATATTAAACATAAATAAACATACATCATGTTTAATTCTTCAAAAACTGTTCACCTCGATCAAGTACCCCCCTCTTTTATCCTTCATCCATTGAAAAAAGATTCCACATCCACAAATGTTATAAAATATTAAATCTTGAACTACGTGCAGCAGAAAATGTTAAGCAAACAATCCTTTAGATTTTGTGTCTGCCTGTCCATTCAAGGTCCACATAGTTTAATACATACGGCGTCATCCTTGCGTTTGGCTGTGTCGTCAAGCTAGTTTGCTGTCTCTGTCAAGTAGACCGCGACCCACCAGTTGGTAACCATTGCTTTACAGCTGGGTACTCAATATCTTTAAAGTATCAACCAAAAAAATCCAATTCCATGTCGTATTGAAACTTTTCCAGCCAAACGTTACCTGCATTTGATTTTTTTTGTACCAGGTCTAGAAAAAAAATGACCGAACACCACAAGAATTCTTCAGTTTAACATGTTGGTGATTGGCTCACGACAGCAGCAGCTACGACCCAAATAGTCTGTGGTGTGATGAAGTCGAGCGCGGTGTGTTTACAGTTTGGCACTTTAGTGTGCCAAGAGTCCGCCAATGTTCCAATGTATGGCGATACGACACACCTGTGACATGTGGTAGCATTTTACACGTTAGTATCACTTTAAGGCTGCTGGTATTGGTATCGTGATTTTTTGAACAATACAAAGCTCGACTGTCCTTTGCTGTTTAGTCAGTTGAAAATAATGGATGAAAAGAAAGCCAATATTGGTTTATGAATGTTCACTTTTGAGAGATTGTAAACACACCAGTTCAGTCAAACGCCTAAAGAAGCCAAGACAAGTCATGCAAGATCCAAAACATCTTATAGTGTGTGTTCACATTAAATAAGATGCAAATTTTTGCATATATGGCCGCTAGTGTTTTTTGGAGCATTTTGCAACTCGCAGAAATTTGCCTTAAAGGTTGTGCTAGCTAACGAACTGGGGGAGCCAGCTAAATGCTAACTTGGTTTGCAGTGAAGTACAACTGATAGCTGAGTGTTAACATGGAGGCTCCATGCCCTGAGCCAGTGTGAACCAAGACGGTCACACTCTTTGTCATTTATCATACTGTCATGGCAGCGCATTACCACGTCACGCCTTCCATTGTTTACTTTCCACAATAAAAGACCAACTTAAAGAGCAACTCAACAAAACAGCTTAGCATGTAAAGTTATGGCTTTGCTCACTAATCTCTGAGTCTTTCTAGTCCGTATTTGTTTTTTCTCTGTACAGTACTGATTTTGAGTGTAGCTTTGGTCATGGACAGCAACATTGTTTCTCCTTCATTTCTGAATCTCTGTAACATCAGAAGAATCTCAGCCAGATCTCAACACTAATAGGCTTTCACGACACAGCGAAACAGATATCACATCTTAGTGTCAGTCACGTTCTGTGATTCACATCCATCACTTCGCCTGGTGGGAATTTGTGTCCATTCACGTCTTTGCATTGACTTTTTATGTAATCTTGCTGCCTGCTGCGTTTGGTATGAACACACCGAACGTACCTCTCAAGCCGGGCTCAGGCTGCTGGAGTTTTGGGCAGATTTTCCCTGATTTACCTCTCCAAAAATGGGAGAATAAATCTGGTCTCAGACTTTGGTCGGTGCCGATGTTTGGCCCAGATTATCTGGTAATATGAGAAGTTTACTGTTTGCAGGCTCATCAGGGTTGCCCTAATAATTTCAAATGATGTTACAATTTAAAATCTGGTTAGCTAGCATACAGCTGTTGTCCCATACTAATACTAACAGTTAAGATCTCACCTCCTGTTCTTGCTGACTAGACAACCCGTGTTGACATCTCCCCAACTTTTTTCTCGTCCAGACTCGTTTCGCTTTCTGCTGAAGTTTTCCTCACTGCAAAACATTGTTAAAATCGCACCACGCCAGTCCCTGTTTTGTTTACATCTGCTTCCCCATGAGATCACGTGATATTGGGGGCTACCTGTGGCTCAGGAGGTAGAGCGGGTCATCCACTAATTGGAAGATCAGAGGTTTGATCCCCAGGTCCTCCGTTCTACATGTCAAAGTATCCTCGGGCAAGATACTGAACCCCAAATTGCACCTGATGGCTGCTTCATAGGTGTGTGAGTGCATGTGAATGGTTGCTGAGTAGTAGGTGGCACCATGTATGCTAGCCTCAGCCACCGGTGTGTGAATGTGACAGGTGGTGTAAAAGTGCTTTGAGTGGTCAGAGGACTAGAGCAGCACTATACAAGTGCAGTCCTTTTATATTAGGTGTTGCATTCGGGCTCCCTCTGGAACAATAATCAGATTAGAGATAAAAACATCGATGAAGTTTCTCTTTATATGTGTGATGCACCCTGTTTTCACATTCAGTATTTTAGAACTCCTGCAGTCTGAGCCCGGCTGTACAGGTAAACAAATCCCTAGCAGTCTCATATTTTGGAGCTTCAAAGTAAGCATTAACTTTTATACGTTTTAGTGATTTGCACTATTTAAGTTACTTTGGCTGTTGTTCATGAATATAACATTAAGGATTTAAAATGCACAGTTTTGGAGGATCGGGCAGCCATGTATGATCGTCATCTCTGAATTGATGCCTTTGAAAGTAGAATACATGCACATTTAAATGCAGTGGGTGTCAACAGATAATCAAATGAAACAACACCTGCAGCTCTGATACACAATGTTTGTAGAGAACACAAAACATGTCACTCATTTTCACTTGTCTGACTGCAGTGTTTTTTTTATTGTCATGTTGTCAACAGCCAAACAGCCTCAAGAAAAAGTCTTTGCCGCCTGTGAAGTTTGTGGAAGGTGAAGTTATTTGGGCAAAGTTCAACCGAAGACCATGGTGGCCCTGTAAGGTGACCGTTGACCCCGTACAGGGAATCTATCACCGAGTGAAAGGTGGGCCTGAGACACTGTTTACTTCATGAGATTACTCAGACTGGGGGTAGGCAACCTGCAGCTCTGGAGCCACATGTGACTCTTTAGCCCCTCTCCAGCGGCTCCCTTTGGCTTTGACAAAAAAAAATCATTTGGAAATAAATGTCGGCTAAGATGTTCATTTATCATTTTTGTAGGCCCAAACAAATAATGCACTAAATTAAAAAAAAGGTTTAAATACTTCATCAACTAAAATGTGCTTCAGATGTTTACAGCCTGGCGCCTTTTCCTTCTGTTTTTGCCAAACCTCAAGAGCGGCAGTTAGTCTTAAATCTTCCTAGCTAGGCTACCTATGATTCCAAATCCCAAAAATTGAATCATGTGTGAATAGCTTCATTTGATTTCACCACCAGCTCTGCAAATTTGAGTAGCCACCACATAGTAAAGCATATTAATGAATGCTCATTTAGACCTCAAAGTAATTTTAATTGACTAATTTAGATGTGATAGGCTGTGTTACCTTCATTATAAGGTTCAAATATATTTTGTGGCTCCAGACAAATTTTTTTATTACTATTATTTGTGGCCAAAAATGGCTCTTCACATAGTAAAGGTTGCTGACACTTGACTTAGACCAATGCACTGTGTAAGGGCTGTTTGCAATTGTGTGATGTGCTTTATGGATTGTTTTTGCAGTTAGTTGACATCTCCAGCTGGTAAAAGCTGAGCATTAATGGTGATTGATAATACATCAAAAAGCTGATGGATTATTTGAGATAATAGTTCAGTACATGATACAGGACACATGCTGAAAAACACATTCAAAATGCACAGTTATTGTGTCTTGAAATGTTCCATGTCCTACAGTTGCCATGCCAAATGCTGCATTAGATCAGGTCACCAAGCAAAGAAAAGTGTCACATTTCTTATGCTGCCATCAAAAACTACATTATATCTTCAACCCATGGATCCCCTTCATCACTCTCTGTTAATCATGTTATGTTGTACTGACATGCCCACTGTCCGCATCATACGGTCATGATATGTTTTTCCTTTGCAACCGTGGATGCCGATACATATTTAAAGGGACAGTTCACCACAAAATCAAAAATACACATTTTTCCTCTTACCTGTAGTGCTATTTATCAACCTGAATTATTTTGGTGTGAGTTGCAGAACGTTGGAGATATCAGCTGAAGAGATGTCCGCTTTCTATTAGGGCTGAGTCCGTGTACACGTTTACACGTGTACACTTGTTTGAGATCATAAACGGTTATGAAAAATTTGTACACAAAAAATGTGATACTAATTGTTGACTAACTGTGATAGACTGTGAATATGAAAAGAAATGGTGTGGGACTGGGTTTGGCAACAGATCAGTAGCCTACGTGCTCCATTCTATTAAAACGGCGCATTCGTTAAGGGGGTTGTTTGCCAGTGGGCTTCAATGAGTACCGCACACAATTTCGTGTCCTCTCACCTCAGATGCTGTGATTTGATGGCCCGGTACTCATTGTAGCCCACTCTTATAAGACCCAATAATAATAATAATAAGTTACTGTGGACCTATATGCTATGCTTTTTAATAAAATTACCAGAGGAGTTAGCTGAAAAACAGGTAATGTCAGCCTGAATTACTCGCGTGCGTCCCCGGTGAAAATCGCTGACATGCATGGGAAATACGGCTTCTACAGGCTCTCCATAGCTTACTGTCAGGACTCAGGGACCAGAAATCGGAATGGCAAACCATCGGAATGGCGACATTTCGGAGTGGCGGCCTGTAATTGTTGGTTAAATGGCCCGTTCGGTTGGTATTCGGATAACTGGGGCTTAGAAGTTATCCACATTTTATGCCCCTGCACAGGCGATCACCCTGACTGGAGGTATTGGAGCATTATGTTTCGGGTTGTCCATCCATCCCATTCTCAGGCCATGATCTTGAGAACGCCTTGACAGAATTTTCTTCAAATTTGGCGCAATGTCCACTTGGACTCAACAGTGAACTGTATAAATTTTGGTGGTCAAAGTCTTGTGAATGCGATATCTTGAGGAGATGGAATATATCTAGGTGCAGAGACGTTCACTTGGATGAAGCTCAATCATGTGAACACAATATCTCAGCAGCACCGTAAGGGAATTTCTTCAAATTTGGGTGGTAATTCTTGGTTTAAAAAAAAAATGAATAAAAATTTGTGCCATCTACTTCCATTATATTGGAGAGAAAGCAGACATCTCTATAGCCAATATTGCCAACGCTCTGCAACTCACACCAAAACAATCTAGACTGATAAATAGGAAAAGATATATTCTTTTGGTTTTGGGGTGAACTGTCCCTTTTAGACTAGTCACAAACGCTATTGCCGGATTGTCCTAATGTCTCAGCAGGTTGAGAAAATTGCCATGAATCTACAGCCATTATTTCAGCTGACACTAGTATGCACATTTGATTGTCGAGAGTTCAGTGTCCTTGCATTTTAAAGCTCTCTTTGCCTAGTTGATGCACTCATCTTCTTACTGTGCAGGATGATGTAGTTTTAATTTGTGTCTCATGAGACTTTGTTGTCGTCTAAGAACCCAGTGACCGGCCCTGTCGGCTCTACCATGTCAGGACCTTTGGGGAGCCTGTGGAACTAACCTGGGTGGAGGAAAAAGCAACTCACAGTTTCCATGGAGGGTTTGAATTTGAACAGCTGCCCCTACTGCGCCGGAGGGGGAAGCAAAGGGAGCAGAACTACAAATACACTGTAATTACTGTTTTATGAATGATGAGTAATTAATTGCATGCCCTAATAAAAACCTGATCTAAAACATCATAGGTTATCATCGTGCTAGACAATATAAAAGTTTGTAGACCTGTTCAGGAATACTTTCAGTTACATCGCTTATCCTAAACCAGTTCTTCTGTAAACTGCCATGATTTGTGAGCAAATATTGAGCAGTGTTTACCCTTTGTCTTCCTGCAGATTGCAAAGCGTTATCAGGACTCTTGGAAATCCAGCGTGGCAGAAGCGGAATTTTTTCTCCAAGAAAAACCCAAAACAGATTCCTCCATTCCTTCCTCCATAGACGATGCCTTCCACGACAGTCCCACAGTGGAGAGCGAGAATAAGGCCCAGCCAACCTTTCTTCCCTCCCCTTCACCACTTCCACTTCCTGAGTCATCGCACTTGACCAATGGATCCATTTCATCCCCAGTTACAATTCCAGCAAAGCCAAGCACTTTAAGGAAATCTGGCAAGAAGAAACCAAGTAAATCGTCAAAGGACATGAGTAGCAAACACTCTAAAAAGACGTTGCATAATAGCCCTGACCAGTCAGATAGAGGCAATGGAGAATGCCCATATTCTGACCTCGACTCAGTCCCTAAGATTTTGTGTCCTAAAGCACTTGAACGTCAGTCTAAGCTAGCTCCAACTCAGCCATCCGTTACAGTTGTCAAAGAGGTGAAGAAGCAGCCAGAGATTCAGAGTGGTCTGTGGTTCAGTAAATCAGGCAAAGACAGACGACCCAAAACAACCAGTCCGATGCCGGACCGCACTCTCTTTAGTAAGGTGCCCTGTAAGAAGAAGAACTCATCTGTTGTAACTAAAAAGACACTGGTTCCTAGTGCCTCCTCTTCCAGTGGTGGGCTCAGTGACCAGTCAGTGTTGTCAGACAAGCATAAGACTCCTGCTGAAACAAATCTGTCACCTGAACAGTTGGGACATTCAAAGTGTAAAAACCCCCTGGTTGCTAACAGGCCTTTTGGTACAGCTGGCAGTCCCACTGAACAGTCAGGACTGTCAGACAAGCAGAAGTCCCTCGTCTCTGTTGAGACTGGTGTGCCCTCTGACAAGTGTGGATATTCAAAGGGTAGACAGATTGTCAGTAATACAACTGACACTACTACTGGCTTGCTGTCTGACCAATTAGATAGCTCAGATGTTGAAAAGGCCTCACAGCCGCCAAGCCCAGTCACTGTCAATGACCAGTCCAACCAATCCAGATTGAGAGTTGGTCGAACTGAACATTCAGACATGATGGCTAATAAAAAGATCCATGTAACTGACAGGATTTCTGACCAAGCAGAAGAAAAAGAAACTAAAAAGAGTCCAGGGTCCCCTTTAAATATTGACACTACTGACCCATTAGTAAAGCTAGAAAAGCAAACAAGTCTGGTCTCGAAGTGTAGGCTGCCATTTGTCAAATTAATACGCAAGGACATAAAGGGTAAAAAGTTCCTAAATTCCAGTGTAACTGTTAGCCCTGGTGACCATCCTGGATGTACAAAGAATGAAAAAACACCAGGTACTGATGTGACTAAAGTGTCTACTAAACAATCAGAGTGGGTGGACGGCAAAGCAAGTGTCTCCCTAGAGCAGGTAGTCAGTTCAGAATCAATAAAGGTCTCAGTTAAGAAGTTGAAAGCAAGTGGTGGGACTGGTGTTCTGCGTCTCTCATCAGAATCAGGAAAAGCTAAAACTATTGTTGCCTCCAGTGTGGCCAGTGTGTCTGATGAGTTACGTAGCTAAGAAGCAGAACAGGTTTTAAATGTGAGCCCTGGCAATGTGACTTACTCATCCTCTAACCAATCAGAACAGCCAGAAGGAGAGAAGGTGTCTGCATCCAATGGAACAAGCATGTCCTCTGAAGAGTTAGGCAGCTCAGAGCAAAACAAAACATCTGCCACTAGTACAGATTTTAATGCAACTCCTCTGCTTTTGCACCGGCATGGGGATTCAGTATGTAAGAAAGCTCATGTGCCTGAAGGCCCATCTTCTGCAAAATCGAAGAAAGTCATCCACAAGTCAAAGCAGGTTCAAGAAGAAGTCAAGAAAGTCCTTCTCCATGAGCAGCCTGCCCACCTCCCAGCTAGCAGTCGGCTGATGACCAGAGCCCTGAGGGCCATGCAGGAGGCGGAACAGAAGAAGCGTGAAAAAGCCAGGAAGGAGGCTGAGCAGAAGGAACTCTTAAATCCTTACAGAAAAGCTGAGGATCTTGTGTGCAACACTGCGCGCAAGTCCAAACTGGACTTTAGCAATAAAATTAAATCTCTTAAATCTCATCATAATGACAATGGTGGGTATGATCAGGACACGTTTTCTAGCTGTAGCACTCCCTCTTTGACGTTTTCTGATACGGTTGACTTCGAAGTTGATGTCAAGAGCGAAGATGAAGACCTCTCAATATCCTCAACTCCACCAATGGACTTCATACCCCTTACTTCTAAGGTAAAGGCCAAGAGGGAAGATCATTCCTCTGATATACACTTCTCTTCCTCGCCTCCCTCACCATTTGCTTTTATGAATGCCTTTAAAAACGTGGAAGAGGTGTCCTTCCAGTCCCTGACAAATGATAGGGATGGTAAACCCATCTCTTTCAAACCAGATGCAAACTACAAGTTCAGCACTTTTCTCATGATGCTCAAGGACTTGCATGACACTAGAGAACGAGACGGGACCCCCTTAGAACTGGAAATTGGGCCCCCAAGTGCACATGTTAAGGAGGAACCTTTAGTGATGCCTGGAGAGGTTACACTCACAGGCCAAGCTCAACAAATCGAACATGTTAAAAATTCAAATTCAAGTCTAGACAAAATTGAAATCAAACACAGTGAGGAGAGCACAAGTCAGGCGTCCAAGAGGCCCTACAACAGAAGGGGCAGTTCCACTGGCGTTAGAAAGAAAGCCAACCGTAAAGTGCCTTGTCGTCCTGCCAGGTCTGGACCTGGTTTCCCAGGACTGGAGTCCTTGCCAGCAGTAGACTCTTCATCAGGAGTGGATTGCTCATCAAGAGTCCAGTCCCTGTTGGGCATACAGACCAGTGGCTGGAAGAAGCAGCCTGGAGATAGTGAAGGAGTGGTGGGGGAGGAGGAAGACAGGTGGAGCAGAATAAATGCGAATCTACAGAACATGGTGCCTTTGGAGCAGAGGGGGTGTGACACTACGCTGTGTCTGGAAAAGCCGAATGGCCTTGTTGGAGGCTGCACTGAGACTAACACAAACTTTATGTACAAGGCTGGAGAGGGCGACAAGGCTCCAAAAGGTAAGGACAGTCTAGTTTATCCCAGTGGGCAGTATTTTTGCCTTTAATGGATAGGACAGTTTAGCATGAAAGGGAGGGAGATAGAGGGGACGACACGCAGCAGGGGACTGCAGGCTGGAATCAAACTTGGGCCGCTGCAGCAAGGACAGGGACTTTGTACATGGGGTGCCTTCTCTATCCACTAAGCCACTGATGCCTCACTGAAGCACAGTGTGACCCAAATCCTGGGAGTATTCCATTTCTCTGAAAGAGAAGTTGTAGTTATTATAGTTTTGTCCCCTGATTTTCAGAAGAAAAGAAGTTTTTCTCAGAGTCGAATTGCAGGTACCAGCACTGGTACCAGTTCAAATGTGAATGGTACCAAACCCTAGTTGGCTGTACATCCACAGGTACATGGCAAATTTTTACTTTAACTACTTAAATGGTGCCAGTTTGCCAAAATTTTAACAAATTTACACAGACATTCAAAAGTTTGGAATTGCCTCTCCTAAAAGTTTGATTGGGTCATACACTGTATTAAGAAATGGAAGTAGCCACTATAAAGTCACCTAGGGGTTTCTGGGCTCCTGTTTTTAAGCCTAAAGTTTGGCTTTTTGACAGTCGCAAAGAGAAAGGAGCTGTGGAGGAGCGAGGGGTAGATCTGACTCAAAAGCCCTTTTTACAAAGAGATTGCATTATAGTGCCACTACTACTGCGGGATTTATACTCCTGTGTTGAATCGATACAGTACCTACAGTGCGTTATTTTAAACAGCATGATGACATTGCAGACTCAAAAGAGGTGTGACAAGCATGACATGTAACACAACTGCATAGGCCTCTAGTGTGACATATAACATATGTGTCAGCATATTACCGTCTCTTTTATGCAGTAGCTAATCTTATTCTCTGCTCAGAGGGTACGGCTCTCCCAGACTCCATTGTTTTCACAATTTGCAGACATTTTTGGCCGCTGTTCTTGGTCTGTGAGTTAGCTGCTAACTTCTACCAGCTACTTTTCAAATCTCCCAGGTGGGGGGTGCATGCATAACACATCGTCAGAATGTGACATAGTGCTGCCCATGATCTCGTCCTGCTGGCTGTCCCATTTATACAGACATTGTTTTGGTGCTGTTATTACCTCCAGTGGAACCTTAAAGGCGACACAACTCATTTAATTTCTCTATTACTCTACTGTAAACATCAGGAAGTAAAAAAAGCAAGTGTCTTTTCTTATTTACTTTCTTTCAGCACATAAACGAATTAGGAAACCAAGCAAGAGGCTGATTGAATGGACTGAAGAATATGATCAGATTTTCTCCACCAGGAAGAAAACCAAAAAGCCTCTCCAGTTGATTGGAAAGGTAAAAATCACATTAAGTAAGATCTTTTGTAACTTAGTAATTATATGTTGTTGGCACTAAGCGTCACTTGTTTGCAGCTACACACAAAGCTCGCATCACTGAAATCATTTTGTTTTCTCAGGCTGCTCAGCCCATAACGTCCACGTCCGAACCCCCGGCATTGGACAACAGCGCACACGACCACCCGTCCTTGAATTTGCTTCCTGAAATACAGACCCCACCTCCTGAGGAGATCACCGCAACAACACCCTCTGAAATACAAATTCCCAGCACTGAAAACACAACTACCCAAGATGCACCGGTGCTTTCCATCGACACACTAACCCCTCCTCCTGAAGCTGACCCCTCGCTGTCAGAAGGCCTCGTCAAAGACAATGGTGAGGACATTATTGTGTTTGTTTGCAGCTTAAAACAGAGAGTGTGAAGTTTTCTCAGAGAGAATAAAGTCTTCAACACACTGCATGGCCAAAAGAATGTGGACACCTGAACGAGGACTTGCAGTCAGTCTTCCAATGCATCATAAAGGTGCTGGATTAGGTTGAGATTAAATTCTTCCACACCAAACTGGGAAAATCATTTCTGTATGGACCTGAGTTTGTGCATGAGCGATTAACATGTTGAAACAGGAAAAAAAACTGTTTCAAAACTGTTGTCACAAAGATGGAAGTTCACAGTTAAAAATATTGTGTGCTGGAGGAAATAGTAGTAGTTGTAGTTGTAGTAGCAGTAGTAGTAATGATATAGTGATGCCTTAGTACGTTTGCAGCATTTTACAGTTGCTGACAGATGAATTTGTTGTTGGTCATGAGATGATTAACAGGAGAGGAAAGAAGGAAAGAGACTTTAATTTCTGCTCCACAGATCATTTTTCGGACCTTAATCTTTGCTGTTTTTTTTAAATCTTAGGTAATTTGACATTTTTAGGTCTCAAACGGTCATTTAAACAAAACCATCAGAGCAGTTCAGGGGATTCACTCTGAAGAGGAAGACGTTTAAACATTTCCCCCTAAAACACCGCTTTGCTTTGTGTTATTTTTTTGTGAAGGATCACAAGCCAAAGTCAGGGAACTACTGGGTGAATATACAACAATGAGTGTTTTTATTTATCATATGTGATTCACAGGAAGTGCTCCTGTGCTGGAGAAGAAGCGGAAGAGGAAACCAACGCAGAAGATCCTGGAGTACTGTCTGGAGGCCGAGGCCTCAACAGGCCCCAAGAAGAAGGTAAATGTATCTGTTGTTTGTACATGTGTTCATCTGTGGTACATCTGTGTGAGTGTGTGTCACGTGTGTGTATTTATTCTCTCAGGTACCACTTTACAGTCCAGTCCCGTCCAGAGCAGTTGTCCAGCTCTACAGTAAACTCAAAAGTGTTGTGTTTTTGTAAAGTCTGTGTATGTTGCACTGGGTTATCATGATATGTTTTTTATATTATTACATAAATAAATATTTTCAATATCTAAATATTGTTTTAATACAGTTCAATGCAACATCAGCACCAACTGCAGCCTCCAAAATGATAATTAGATTAATTCAGTCAAAAATTAGCCACAAAACAAAATAATTCAGTTCAGTCTGCAGCAACATGGAGACAGAGAACAGCATGTTGGACAGACACAGTATTCAGGATCAGGGAAGATAACACAAACGCAGTATCACGTATGAATGGATTAGGACGTTTCAGTACAAAGTTTTAATGCTTCAGTTTGACAGGAAGAGGTTTTGTTCATGTTTCTCTTTTCACAGGTCAAAACACTGAAGAATAATTCAAATCCTGTGGCTCACTCAGGTCAGTGAATCACCTCACAGCATTGTGTTTTCCTACTGTGGTGCAATTCATTATAGTATATGTTGCTTTTTTATTTGTGTACATTTTGTGTGAAAATGATTTCCCTAGGAGTTTGTCTGGCTAACTTCAGAAAATTGAAGAGTGGAGAATTCAGCACTTTTTACTGTGAAAGATCACCAGTAAAAGTTTCTAAACACAACCACACATGTTCCAACCAAAATCAGGAAGAAATTAACAACATGGGCGACCAAGTTGACATGTTTCCCTGATGTAAGCATGTAGCTACATGTAGCACTGTACTTTCAGCCAAAGAATGACCATGAAAAAGTCACTACTAAAAGCTTTTAAACCCAACTAGACATGTTCCAGCAGGAATATAATCTTAAACTGGAGTGAAATTGACAACTTCAGCAACCAAGATTACATGTTTCCTTGACATTAGCGTGTAGCTACATGTAGCAGTGTACCTTAAGATGAGGAAAAGCTATAACAGAGAACAGTGGCACTTTCTACCAAAAAACAATACCCAATAAAAGCTCCTAAACCAAAACGTTAACAATTAAACTTGTTCGAGCAGGAATATTATCTGAAATCAGATCAGGGAAACATTTACAGCATCACCAACCAAGATGACATGTTTCCTGACGTTAGCATGTAGCTACATGCATGTAAGCAGTGCATTTGCAGCCAGGGAATGACTGTAACAGAGAACAGTGGCACTTTTATCTGTAAAAACTCACCAAGACAAGCTTCTAAACACAACTAGAAGACATGTTTAGCAGAAATTGGGTAGAATTTACAACATCAGAAACCCAGATTACATGTTTCTCAGACATTAGCATATAGCTACATGTAGCAGTGTACTTTCAGCAGGGGGATGCCTGTAATGGAAAATCTTCCAAGGAAAATCCCCAATAAAAGTTTCCAAACCAAAATCTTGACAACCGAACATGCTCCAGCAGGAGTATGATCTGAAATCAGGGAGAAATGTACACCATTAGCGACCAGGATTACATGTTTCCCTGATGTTAGCATGTTGCCACATGTAGCAATGTACCCTGTAAAGAACAACAGTGGCACTTTCTACCAAGAAAAATCCCCAATAAAAGCTTCTAAACCAAAATCTTAATAACCAAATGTGTTCCAACAGGAATATGATATGAAATCAGGGAGAAACTGACAACATCAGAAACAGGTTTACATGTTTCCCAGACGTTAGCATGTAGCTACATGTAGCAGTGTACTTTCCAAGGAGTGACTGTAATGGAGAATAGTGGACCTTTCTACCATGACAAATCCCCAATGAAAGCTTCTAAACATGTTCCAGCAGGAATATGATCTGAAAAACTGACAACTTCAGCAACCAAGATTACATGTTTCCCTGACATTAGCCCGTAGCTACATGTAGCACTGTACTTTCAGCAGAGGAATGACTGTAACGGAGAACAGTGGCACTTTTATCTGTAAAAACTGACCAATAAAAGCTTCCTAACGGAACTGGACATGTTCCAAACAAAATTGGGAAGAAATGTACGTCAGCAATCAAGATGACATATTTCCCTTATGTTAGCATGCAGCTACATGTAGCAGTGTAGGCTACATAATGTAAATACTAAATCCAGCACACCATGACATCATACTGTAGCCAGAGTAGAAAAACTGTTGGAAACAGTGTTGTGAACAGTCTGAGGTTTCTGCCTAAAGGATTACTTTTACACACTTTAACATCATTATTTAAAACGTTGGCCACATTTATGAACTTCCTTTATTGTTACATTATATAAAAGACACAAAATACCCCTTTAAAGAGTTAAATGTTACTCATAAGGCAAATAGGATTTAAAATAATCCAGATTCTTAATCAGAATAAATTGTTTAACTCTGAAATTGTATTGCAGTGTTGTGACTTAAATGAATAATTGTGATGAACACTGCTTAAATATGGTAACTAACACATCTGTCTTGTAACTAACACATCTTTGTTACACCCAGATTCTGGACCGCCATCTTTTAAATCAAAGAGTAAGCAGCTCACAGCAGCCAGCTCCGCACCGACACCCACAGAAGCTTCCACCTGTGCGCCCAAAGATCCCCCTCCCACCTCTCCTGCACCTTCCACTCCAGCGCCAAACCCACCCGAACCTGCCCCAGTGGAGACGGCGTCAGAAGGCATAGATGCTCCTCAAGCAGAGGACAAAAAGGACACAGCAGAGTCAGAGGTCAGTTGTCTTACTTTTGTTCCTCTGTTCATTCTGCACACTGAAGGAACTTTGTTGCATTAAAGTGAATGATTTACTGTCACTTTGCACACTGTGCTCTTCCACTTGCTCTTCTCTTAAGTTGCTAAATTTGATTTCAGGATTCATATTTATCAGTGATGCATATTCGCTCCTATTTTAAGTCTTGAATTAAAAGATTTTATCAGCTTAATTTACACCCTCATCAGAGCTGATGAAGTTTCACAGTAAAGTGAAACATTGCGTAGATGTAAGTCTGCGGAAATCTTTTCTAACAGTCTGGACTATTTCTAGCATCTTGCCAAGAATGCGCTGGGTGAAGCGGTGGTTTGCCTGCATCATCAACTTAATTTAGGAAATGAATCTTATCTGGGCCGATATTTAGGAGAGCTCCAGAGGTGTCCTAGTCTGTCAGCAGGTGCCAGGAGACAGTGTTCAAACAGAGAAAGAGCACGTTCTGTGGGAGGAAAGATATGTTAATGACAATTAAAAGAGATGATTTAATAAAGATTCAATCTGTTTTTTTTTACGGGCAAAAGGGAGCAACTTCCCAGCAGGGAAACAACAGCTCACATCGAATCATTTTTGCAGTAATGTATCAAATTTAAATCCTGCTCACAGATCGTTTCTCCACCACTGAGTTTGTAGATATTGAAAAACAAGCTGAATGTTCAATTAGTTATTCGTTCATTTGTATAAAATTCCCTGAAGAGGAGCCAAATTTAAGACGTATATGTTTATATTGTTGCAGTGGATTTCCCAACACTGAAATCATATACTTTCTCCATCTTTGAATGTGAATGAGTTAACAGGAGGAGTAGTTGAAAGGTGGGAGAGAAGATTAAAAATCCAACAGCCCTCCTGAGGTGATATTTGATGATTAAGATGTGTAAAACAACTGCTGCATTTGTTGTTGTTTTAGTGGTGTACTCAAACAACACATCGTTACAAAGCAATGCTCCTTGTGGTGCCATTAATGCTGACCTTTTTTAAATTTTTCAGGGGGGCTTTTTTTAGCCTTTGTTTGGTAGGGCAATGTTAGTGTGAAATGGGGACAGAGAGTGGATGACATGCAGCAAAGGGACATGGGTCGGAATTGAACCTATGACGCTGCGGCAACACGCTGACATTAGTCCAGATCTAAATCCAGTGAAATATTTAAAGGTGCTGTATGTAAGAATGTGGCCAAAACGGTTACTGCACTCAAAATCAAAATGCTGCCGCGAGTTGTGTCCGCCCCCCCTCCCCTACAGAATCGAGGTTGCTGGACAGCGGCACGCTGGAGACTGATTTGTTTGCCCACGGGTCGCTGCGTCCTTGATCTTCGGTTTTTCAGCGGACCGTTGGAGCAAGTCCAGCTTCTCTGCTGCTAACGCTGCTGCCAGGATACAGCTGAGGAGGAGCCGGCTGCTAATGCTATGTACCGGTACACTGCTAATGCTGCTTGCCGTGCTGCTAACGTTTGTTGACCCACCTGCACATGGGTTACAATGTATGATCGAAAATGAATAACAGTTGAAAGTATTCGAAATGTCCATCCCCGTCTAGCTATGATGCTAGTTAGCCAACTTTGGCTAAAGCTTACCTGTCGAGGAGAAGAGTAGCCACTCCGACATCCGATTTCAAATTCTTCTCCTCTTTCAACCGTTTCCACCGTTCAAAAGCATCTCCTATATAGACCCTCGCTTTGCCTCGAGTTTTGTCTTGGCGTTTTTGGGAATCATAACGAGGTCATTTGGGTTTAGTCGTACTGTCAGCCATTGTAGCGCAGTCGTAACTGTAACTGATGCTGAGACTCTACTGACTGTGTGACTGGTAGACAGCGGTGGGTGGCGCAACAGGCCAAAACACAAATTCAAAACATAAACATGATTTGCGGACCGTAAAAAATTTTTTTAAATGCGAATATTCTGGCTGTACAATTGTTGTCGGTGAGATCAGTATGTTATATGAACATTATTCCTTAGTCTCTGTGACATATTAGGAGGATTTTACAACTATTTGCTTTAGATTTCTTACATATAGCTCCTTTAATCTAAAGAAATTATTACATCCACATACAGTACAGGCCAAAAGTTTGGACACACCTTCTCATTCAATGCGTTTTCTTTATTTTCATGACTATTTCATGACATTGTAGATTCTCACTGAAGGCATCAAAACTATGAATGAACACATGTGGAGTTATGTACTTAACAAAAAAAGGTGAAATAACTGAAAACATGTTTTATATTCTAGTTTCTTCAAAATAGCCACCCTTTGCTCTGATTACTGCTTTGCACACTCTTGGCATTCTCTCCATGAGCTTCAAGAGGTAGTCACCTGAAATGGTTT